ACAAGATCCAAGCAGATAAGCATCAGATTCCGGCACCTCCATTCACAGTGGGAGACAAAACCTACCTCAGCTCCAAACATATCAAAACCACCTATCCAACCAGAAAATTTTCAGAAAAATACCTTGGTCCTTTCAAAATTATAGTCCAACCTGGTATCCACTCCTTTATCCTGAGGCTTCCACTGGATCTCTGGTCCATTCACCCTGTCTTCCATATGTCACAATTGGAACCTATAGAAGAAAACACTATTCCTAACCGAATCCAACCACCACCACCTCTAGTCAAAGTCAACAGAGAAGAACATTTCAAAATAGCCCAAATTCTCAACTCTAAACTGGACTGCTGGTTCCACTGCCCACTATTGTACAAACTCCAGTGGCTAAGATACAAAGGTACCAATGAAAAATTTGCTTAGTTACCAGCCTCCGAGTTCTCTGCTGATGAATTCATTGAAGAATTTCATCACTGATATCCAGGCAAACTAGAACCCTTGTCCAAAGTCATTCAAACATCCTATTCCTAATATAATGCTACTCTGGATACCACCAGTGCCTCATCTTACCATTTCAATTCTAACCACTAATTACTACTATTTCAATCACTCTTACACTTTCAAATCAAAATCTTGTATTTATATTTTCTTTCTCTACTACTAACATCCAATGCTCTTTTCTATATACTTTGTACAAATATTTTACAAAAAAGTGGAACTCAATGGGCCTGCATCAGAACCCGAACTCTCCCCCTGCTCCTTCAACTCCTCTATATCCTCATCCAGCCCCTTCAACATCACCTCCTGATCCCTCTCATCTTTGAAAATCAGTCAGGCCTTTTTCCAGGCCTCCACCTTGAACTCTGAAAACAGCTCTGAAGGAGATGACATATCATCAGAACCATAGTCATTTTAAAGATCTGCCACAGTACCACAAATATCTGCCATCTTGTCCACCAACTCATCTATGTGACGCATCAACTTGCATATCAATTTTGAAAGTTGGTGGAGACCGGTGGAGACCTCCACACTGCTGATCACCTCACTTGTGGTGATGCTCTTATTGAACAAACAGGTGGTTTTCTTGACCTTGCAGTGAGAGCAAGTCCACCCTCAACTGGCACCTTTGGTTACTAGTTGTGCATAACACCATGTGCCATCTTGACGACAATGCACACAACTCCCTGAAAACAAAAGCTAAGTTAAGCCAGGAAAGAAAACCAAGACACTTACTTTCACCATCCAACAATTCTTCACCCTCTGCTGGTTCTGCCACTTTCAACTTCACCCACTTTTTGGGGCTAACAACCACCTCTGTCTCACTACTATCCACTACACTCCTCGACCTGAACTTATGTTCACGGCCTTTCTCCGCCGGACCCACTGCCCTTCTCTTCCCCTCCTGCACCCTCTTCCTCCTCTCCAGAGTCCCCTCAGATTTCTCAGACTCATTGTCCCCCTCAGTCCCCTTGTTCTGCTCATCATTGGACTCTGGAGACACAGGGCAAGCCACCTTCTTGAAGTGAAGACCAGGGCTAGGATCAAACCATTCTGCCAACACTTGACAAAGCCAGAAATCAACAGCCTCTATGGGGGTCATTTGCAACCCATCCTCCATAACCATCCTCTCTGGCTCTACCTCCTCAGTTTCAGCCCTTGCTGCTGCCTCCACAGCCTTTCTCTCCTCAGCCTCTCTCTGAGCTGCCTCTCTCAATGCCTCCTCTGCCTCCTTCATCCACCTCTTCATGGCCTGCCAAATCTCCTCTCTCTTCCTCTCCAATTCCTCCCTCTGCTCCTTTTTCCATGACTCCTGGGCCACACAGTCTGCCTGAGCCCTCTCCTCCTGCTCCTGCTCCCCTTGCCATTCTAAATGGCTCTCTACAGCTTCCACATATTCTTTCTTCACAGTTCACCATTCCAGATAAAACAATTCCTTGGCCTCTTCAGGGCCATCAGGGGTGGACCCTCTCACCAGAGGCTTGGGAGTGCATGAGCGATGATATGTGGTGAGCGATGACATAGGCAAAGATGGTGGTTTCAGTTCAAGCTGCAAAACTCCCATGGCCACCAACAATTTTCCATGTGGCCCCACTGACCATCGGGATCTGTGCTCTTGAGGGCAAGAATGCTAAGGGGGGGATACTATTACATGCATGCTGCCAGCCTCCATGTCATCTCAACCAACCATAAATCCAATCACACTATCCACCAGACTCTGGCTGCTTCCCATTACCTACTAATTTCATTTCACCATTATCATTTCATATCTGTATTTCACATTGTAATATCTAGACTCCGAACTCAGTAGCGAATACTGACACCAGAACCCAATGGAACCCAACTTGGAATTAGCTACCATTAGTATATAAAGCCATGTACATCATTGTAACTACTCAGTTCAAATATCAACTTGGATAAGCCATCTACACTTTGCACTCACTTCAACTCCTTCCTATCTCATCCATCAGATTCCACTCTGAAGGATATTCCTGTTCACTTCTCTGATGGAACTCTGTTCCATCCATCCAGATCCTTGGGCTCTGACTCAAGGGTGATGTTGCTAATAGCTTCATCGACACCCACACACTCTGCTGGACTCTGTGCATGCACTCAAGCCCACTCGATTGGCATGTTCCTAATACTCTTTTTCTTTATATTAATCTCTATTTATGCTTAGTCAGAGTGCTAGACCAGTGTTTAAGACTGTGGGACTGGCTTAGTCATCACAACAACCCCAGTTGGTTATTGTCTTTTGATGCAACAGTATTGCCTGACAATGCACAATAAGACTTTTGTAGATAATAATGACACTCAAGAATACAGAGTACAAAAGCCATAAAAGACACAATTAGTAGTAATATTTATATCATTAAGTACAAACTGTATATAAGTAGAATAGCTTTTGCTGGTATAACTCCAGCTTCAAGCTGAAGTTTACATTCTACCATTCTATCTTAAGCTAACTTGTATTAGCCTTGAGATATAGTGCTATACAAACACAAACAGTAAACTTAGGAGTGACTGTATGAAGGTGATACAGCTCCTATTTATCACATATTTAAGTCACATGTTGCTTAGACTTAACAATTAGCTCAAAGCTGGAGCTTCCCTTTTTCTATGCACAATAGCATGAGAGAAACCAAATGCCACTATCATCTATCACAATCTCTGACTTTACTGACAACTTCTTTAAGCTTTTAGCTTCCATTATTAGAACACTTCTAGGCTTATTAGCACTCATTCAACTTCACTACAGACAACAATCAGTAACAGCTTAGATAATCAGGCACTATTAAGCATTCTAGCAGATTCAATAAATTCTTTGAAACATTACATCTGATCTCTCATTCTATAATATCTCCATCTCTACCTGAGTCTCCTTCCAGCCTCTGAATGGACTTGTATCCAAAGCTAAATCTAGCAGCTCATATTCAGAGAACTTTCAGAAGAAAAAAAGATACAAATACCCCTCTCAACTCTGATGACCAAACAGCTGAGATAGTAATCATTGCCTCATAGGATTCTAGAACCCATGAATCCCATCCTCTATTTTTAATCACAAAGATAAGGATCTCCTTATAGACTTCTTTAATGACTCACTATTTTCTAACTCTTCTACCACCCTAAGAGAGCCTGGCATTAGAGATCATGCTCAGGACTCTCTTGATGCTCCTAAGGTGACTTTAAGACTTTGAAGTGTTTTGTTAAACTCAAGACACAACTCACTCTATGCCACACTAGCAGAAAGTCTCATCTTGTCAGTCTACATCAACTATAGTAGTTATAGGGCCACTGACCTCTGATTAAATGTCAAAGAGCTGCATGAGCCCTGAGAAGATCAACTTACAGCTAAGATCAATAAGAGCAGAAGGCTTTATGCTCAGCTTACTCTAAGAGACAGACCCTAAATTATTAATATGCACAGACAGACCACTAGTATTCTCACCACCTCCCTGATAAAGGCAGCCAATTGAGCTTTTGCTCAAAACAAAGAAGAAAGATGCAATTAACAGTAGTGATGAGAGCGACATCTCTGTGAAGCCACCACTTAGAGATCTGCTTCTCCAATTTGATATGGTCTTGGAATACTGGACTCTCCTTTCAGAGAGCCTAGTACCTCCACATGAAGTGAAACTGACCCCTAGGCAGAATCAGCCAAAGTGGTCACTGCTAGTGAAGCTGCTCAGCATACTGCATATTCTCTCTATCTCTGAACTGACAGCATTGCCAATACTAACACCATTCTCTCTCATGCCAAATCCATACTCAATGTCTATAGGCTTTGAGTCCCCAGGAATGCTCACATCTCTGACCACAGCCTCTGGAGATTTCTGGATGAAAGAGTTGCAGCACTCTTTCTCAATCCTTGATATTACAGAAACTTCTGCATTTATTGCTGAGAACTGGAAGAGCAAAGAACATACAGCAGGAGCTGATATGATATTACCATCAGGGCTGGTTGATCTGTTGATCAGTCTCCTCCTTGAACCACCTTCTCTGAAGCCAGACTAAGTATCTGAATCAACAACCACTTTGCTGGCAACTGTCAAAGCCTCTGCCCAGTCTATTTATGACCAGCCAGAGAGCTTCCTTGTCAAGGACAGCAAGGACAAGGAGACCAGTGAGACCAGAAATGACAAGGCTGGAAACAAAGACTCCTATAGGTTAGAGGTGCAGATAAAGGCTTGGCTATTACACTTTAAGATCCAGATAGACACCAGAGAAGATGGGGGAGATGGATTCCATTGGTACCAAGTAGCTACATACTTATACTATTTGTAGAGTGGCATGTAATAAGACAAAGGTAACTGGCAAAGACAATGTAAAATATTGAAAGAAAGAGGGAGGCTAACTAAGGGTGACAAGTAAACACTGTATAGACAAAGAAAGGTAAAAGCAAGATAAGGTAACAAAGGAAATGGTTAAAGAAATAGTCTAGAGCAGGTGAATTCTCTACATCCCATACAAACTTCAATTTTCAGCCTCTGAGCCAAAATGTACATTGTATCATGTGTTGTTGATATCATCATCAAAAAGTCCCATAAAGTGTGACATGTCCATGAACTCAGTGACCTTGAACTCATTCTTCAACCTCACATAATAGAGTACAAGCCAAAAAGCTGCAAATTTAAGCTGAAGTACTGTGCCATCCAGCTCTGCAAGATAGCATGCTCCTCCTTGGGTGCACTGGACTACAACCATAAGACCAAGATAGTGAAGACAAAACTTCCTGTTGGTGTTGACTTTGATTTTCTTGTTAAGAACAAGGACTAGAGCACTGAGCTTGAAGTTGTTGATGTGCTTAGTAATAGCTAAGTGACTAAGAGAGGTGAATGAGGAATGAACTCTCAAACACCAACACCTAACCACTCAATACACAATCACCAAATACAGTCGAGGTCAGTTGTTTCGAGTACAATAGAAGCACTCTTGCAGTCTTAAGTAAAATCAGAGAAACAGTCAATAAAGACAGTTATTCAACTCTATCTTGCTTTCAAAGATGCAATACTCATGAGAGTAGTTTATAGCAATGTTTAAGTATAATTAGGACTTAGAATCAACACCAAATTATGCTCCAAATCAACTTAGAATATTCTGAAACCCAATGAACTCTAAAACTCAAATACTAAGTCTATCAAGCACTTAGGCTTGACTAGCTGCACTCTTGGCTGGCTAGCAGCCCTCAAAACTGAAGAACTTGTATTCTGATGCTGAAACCCTTATAGTTTGGAACCCAAATTAATCTGAAACCCAAAATACAGTTATTATTCCAATCCAATCCTCTCTAAGTGACAAAGCAACTTAAATAAATCACTAAGTCGAAGCAGAACTCAAAATCTGTTGTTCCAGAGACTAGCTACAGTGGGCTAGAAGGCCTGAATGCAGGGGTGGGTCGCTTGCTTCCTATTTCCCCCCCATTCCCTTCCTTTATACATAAACAACAGATACAGAATCTATAAATAAAGCATTCAAAATAATATTTCTCCTGTTTAAAGTAGAATCACACTATTATTCTGGAATGGCAGCACTTCTGGGCTCTCCTAGGCTTGCCCAGACCCACCTAGCCACCACACAGCTTTATTTTAAGCCTACAGTACCTGTGGGTACCTATTACTCAAAGTTTTAATCCTCTAAGTTATTCTTAGTAGCTTGATCAATCAGGCCTGGTCAACTGGTCCTATCCACTCTATTCCTCTCAATTCTAAGTCTCTTAGGTCACCTGATACCTAGGAAATTTGGACTTAGGCATTTGAGTCAAAACTCACAGTGCTAGTCATAGATCATTGGGTCTCTCTTCTTACTGCTCCTGGATGATGCTATCTCTACTCAATACTCTACAACTGGCTATAGTATTATACCTCTAGCTGTCTTAGAATATACTTGTCTTAGTGGCATATAGAATTGTCCCCATTTGAGATACCATTTCTAAGTCCAACTTGGACTTAGAAAAGTTCTGCACACCTTAGAAAATACTAAGTTCAAACCTGATTTAGGATTTTTATCTTTAGGCCATGTTATTTTTACAAAGTCTAATTTGGACTTAGTATTGGTGACTAGCATGACTATCAGCTCGGAGCCTCAGCCATAGTCTTCTACTGGCTAATGATCCTCAGTTACTAGCATATTCTAGTGTGTTATGCAGAATTTGCAAATTATAAGGCTGGACATGTAGCCTGCATATCATCATAGTCATGGATTGTGTTCATAAATCACTGCTGGAAGTCCTTAATCAATTGGAATCTGGCTCTGATGATGTGATGCTCAAGGTTAGCCAAGTCTTTATCTCATTTCTCAAGTTGACATGCACACATGTACAACAGCTCAGACTTGGATACTTTTCTGATGATCTCAGGAAATAAGAATGTTGTGAGCAGGATGTCAAATGGGAGGAGTGATTCGACACTATGGGCTGCAAAGAAGGGAGAAGTGTGTATGCAGTGAGATGTTATGATTTGGTCAGCCCAAAAGACCAGGTGAGCCTTACTTGGCTAGGTTTGTTCATTCCCTTCACACAGCTTCTTCAGCACATCACAGATAGGCCAGTGTGCAACCTTGACAAGGCCATTAGCTTGAGAGTTGTAGACTAAAATGTGGATGTGATGGATGCTGTATGTTTTAGCCAGATATTTCACTGTGGCAATCATTGGAGGTCTATTATCTGTGACAAGGATCTCTGCAATACCATCTCAATGACATAAGATTTCTTCAAAAATGAATTGGCTGACTATTTCACCTGTCTCTGCTCAAAGTATCTGGAACTCAGACCAGTGAGTGAGGCTATACCTCTCTTGAATGATGTATTGATATCTGGAAGCCTTCAGTAGGTGCATAGTGTCAATATGGCACTTCTGAAACAGGCCTGCAGGCATGGAGATCTTCAGAGGTAAGTGTACATGTTCTGTGGACTCTAGTTGACACTCATAGCATGTCTTTAGGCACTATCAGATATTATCATTCATTCCTGGCCACCAAAAATAGTCTTAGAGCTGCTGTTAGGTCAGGTAGAACCCCTTTCAATGACCTAGTTTATCATGTCCAGCACAGAGGATTGCCAGCTGTCCAGAATGTGGAATGATAAGCTGATGTTGACCTCCCAGGTTATGGCAGAACAGTTTCTCCCCAAGAATGAAGAACTGGCAGGCCTGCTGCTAGAGTGCTGAGAGTCTTGTTTGTGGGACTGATGGCAGATATTCAAGCTTCATGAGATAGTGCTGAATGTGGGCTATAGCAAGTTCCTGTAGTGCATGCTTCTTGTTCCATGAGGGTAGGTCTTCATTGTTGATTCTAGAAACAGTTGCTGCAAATACCTGTGAAGGCAGGGTCTCTTGTGATAGACCATCAGATATGCTAACTTTCTCATACAGAAATGCCACTACCCAAATGCTGCAATCTAATACATCATCATCAATCCAGTCTTTCACCTTGTCATCTGGTATGTCTTCTATGTCTATTGTGTGCTCACATCTTGACAAACCATCAGATCCTTTGAAGCATTCCACTGAGATGTGGATCAAGATGAAGTTAAATATGAGAATGGCTGCAATCTACTTGTTAACTGATGTATTTGGGTGTAGGTCAGGATTATTAAGTATACCCTTAATATACTTGGCATCTATTTTCATAATAAAGTGCTTAAGGCTGACCAGATAAATTTGTACAGCATGCAAAGCATGCTACAGCCCATGAAGTTCGATCTTTGCCTGTAAGTAGCATAATTTGACATTGGACCAGACTAATGATCCAAAATGAGTGATACATCAATGGTCATCAATCTCTTCTTGTTGTAGCAGGAATCCACAAGCAATTTCCAATAAGTCCATAGAGAGTATGATATTTTGACCAGAAGTGTAGTCAATAAGACATATTGCTGGGCAGGTAACAATGGCAGATTTCAAGATATTCATAGCATCTTGCTGCTCCTGGACTCAAGTAAAGGGGATGTCATAGATAGTGAGCCTGATGAGTGGCTATGCAATAGCAGTGAAGTCCTGAATCCATATCTGAACAGTGTCTGAAAGTCCCAAGAAGCTATAGATCTGTTTGACATTATAGCAAGAGGGCTAGGACTTGATCTTCTATACTGCAATGTTCTCAGGTAGGTGCTCATCATAGCTGCAAAGTTGGCTGAGGATAATGAGTTCAGGCACATCAACCCAGAGCTTCTTTGCTGATACTGAAGCTCTCATGTGCTTGAGATGATGGAGAACTTAGTGTACATCTAGTAAGTGCTCCCATACAAATCTCTGGATATTGCTATTGTCTGGATGCCTCTCATAGTCATTGCCAGGTAGTTCATAGTGAGTTTGCATACCCAGGACATTGGTGTTGTCAATAAAGTTTGACACTACATTGGTTTTATATTGCAGGATGAACACAATATTATGGTGGAAGATGTTGATGAAGCTTGTTCATCTCTGGGACAATGTAGTGAGATGCATAGGGCCAAGGTGGGTGTCAATAGTGGTAACATCATGTGAGGAGATATCCAGAGTGTGCTGATTATAGCCAGATAGCAAGTCAATGCCTGTATAGATGCCACAGCCAGCTGCATGCTTGTAGTATTGGTCTGAGAGAGAAGGTTGTCTAGTAGTCCATATGATATATCTGTTCATTTCATCTGAGTTGATAATGATCTTAATCTTCCCATCTTTCTTTGAAATGCAGAATCACTGTGTCCAATATGAGCTGTCAGAAGGTTTCCAGAGACCTTGGCATATCTTTTCTTTTACTTGTGCAATAACTTGATTTTGGATGCCTGGAGGCACAGAAATAGATTGGCATGTCTAAGGTTTGTGTTTGACAAGTGAGATGATGATCAGGCTGATATAGTCATCTTGTAGGTAACCATATTCTTCATTGATAAATGTGATAGCATCTTGATTGTATATCAGAACATTGACTGCCAAACAGCATTCCTCTGGCCATAAAAACTCATTTTTCAAGATTCCAAGCATGTCTAGACATTAGTGTGTGAGGTGGGAAGATGGATGGAAGTTAGTTGGGAAAGGAGATAGCAGTGGCAAGGATAAGAGGGGATCTTCAGGGAATTGTCTTTGGATTTTTGCATATTCAAACAGAGTGAGGGTTGATGACAGCTGGTTTCCAGATCTTGACAGTCACTCCAGTTACCATTTCTCACTTCTGCAGACAGACTGCTCTCTGCCATAGGTGACCCAAAAGGATATGGTAGGGAGCCTTTGGGACTATGAAGGCATGCACAACAGCTGTCAAGCCATCAACTATAATCTCCAGCTTCTCAGCATATTCAGAGAGTTTGTCTCATGCACTTGCTGCTGTTTCCATCACTATGCTCCTATGCCTGTTAACATCAAGGCCATATTCTTCTGCCAGGTCCTGGCAGATGACCACAATTTTAGAGCCCTCATCTAGCAGAGCAGGTTCTGGTTGTTTTCCAGCAATAGAGATATTTATGGTGTGCAATGGCATGGCATATTTGAGTATAGGAGGAGCAGAAATGGCCTGAGTAAGAGTGGTTGTTGCCTGAGTTGGTATATGACTCATCTTCTCATATGTTATAGCTTCTTTTGCCAAATCTTTACTAATAGCATATAGGTCTCATACTGGAAGTGTGATGAGTATGTCCAGGATCTTCTGGTATACTCAAGGAACAGCTGTTGGATCATCCAATAGGGACTCATTTCTATATATGGGCTGGTATTTATTCAGTAAGAGAGCTTCTTCTTGTATTTTCTGGTCTGACTTTCTTTTGATAAATAAGGCTTTTTCATTCTTCTTCTTCTGAGTTGTCATTGCCACTATTTCTGTGCATT